GCGGCTGCCACAGAAACAAGTGACCTCAAGACGAAGGTCGCCAGCCTGGAGAGGGAGCTGAAGCAGCAGCGCGAGTCCACACAGGCCGTGGGTGAGGAGTCCCACCGCAGAGCCTGGCGCCGGGAGCCCTGCGCTCGGCGGCTGGACCACCAGCCCCCCGTTTCTGTCTCCCGGGCTTCGGGGTCAAAGATAAGGGAACCACGGAGGAGGCTGGGACTGACCGGCCACACCACTGGGTGATGCCATCTCCCACCCAGAGATGGCCTTCTGTTTGCAGCACCCACCCTCGGGCGGGGCTCGGAGCCCCACTCTGTGGCTGAGGACAAATACTGAGGCCCAGAGACGTGCTGTGACAAGCCCTGTGCCCCCCTTCCCAGGTCCCATCCTGGGTCGGAGGCCATGTGGGGAGTCCCCGGTGCTCCTGGGCCCTGCCCCTTCCCACACGTGCTCTGTCCTGCAGAGAGCAAGGCCCAGCAGCTGCAGGCAGAGGCTGAGCACCGGTTGGAGGCCGAGCGGCAGGTGCGGCAGCTGGAGCAGCAGGTGGAACTGCTGGCAGGGCGGTTGGATGGGGCCAGCCAGCAGATCCGCTGGGCCAGCACGGAGCTGGACAAGGAGAAGGCCCGCGTGGACAGCATGGTCCGCCACCAGGAGGTGAGGCTGGGGCCTCCTCAGTGCCTGGGCTCCCGTGACAAAGGCTGGCTGTGAGGAGACAGAACTCCACCGAGGGGGGACATGCTGGAGACCTCCGGAGAATTCCTGAGTGGAGACCATGACCCGATAGAAGTGGGGGAGCCAGGCTGATGGGAATCGGCCAACTGCTTTCCAGGGGGCGGGGTCTGCAAGCCTAGGGCCTTGGCCTTGCCTGGGTTTGGGGCCCGGCTCCCTTCGGCCCTCCACGCCTACCCCTGCATGGAGGTGCACAGACAGGATGCAGCACAGGGGGTGGGCTTGGGGACGGTGGCCTCCTGTGCCCCTCATGGCCTCCCGCCCACCCCCGGCTCAGTCCCTGCAGGCCAAACAGCGGGCCCTGCTGCAGCAGCTGGACAGCCTGGACCAGGAGCGTGAGGAGCTGCGGGGCAGCCTGGACGAGGCCGAGGCCCAGCGGGCCCACGTGGAGGAGCAGCTGCAGTGCGTGCAGGGCGAGAGGGAGCAGGGGCAGTGCCAGCTCCGGGCCCAGCAGGTGCGGGGCGGGCCGGGGGGCGGGGCCGGCCCCTCCCGGGGGCGGGGCTGCGAGCAGGTCCGCAGCGCCGAGCCTGCCCCGCCCCCAGGAGCTGCTGCAGAGCCTGCTGCAGGAGAAGCGAGGCCTGGAGCAGGCGACCACGGACCTGCGGCTGACCATCTCGGAGCTGGAGCGGGAGCTCGCGGAGCTGAGGGAGCGGGAGAGGCTGCTGGTGGCCTTCCCGGACCTGCACCGGCCCGCGGAGGCCCAGATCCAAAGTAGGGACCCGGGCTTGGTGCAGAGGACACGCCGGGGCCTGGGGCGGGCCGGCGGCTGCCGCTTGTCTGGGCTCAACACTGGGGCCTGCGGCGAGGGTGGTGGTGGGGGGTGCAGGAGTGTGGCCTCCAGAGCCCCTGTGACACGCGGGTGCCTTGTGTTGTCCACTCCTGGTGTGGACAGGGACACGGAGGCCCAGCAGTGAGGTGACCGCTCAGAGTCACGCAGCCAAGTCCAGACCCCAGTCTGGCTGCCTCTGTGGCCTGTGCCCTGTGCCATGCCATATGCCAGTCCTGGCTCAGCTTCTGTGTCCCCCGTCCCGGCATCTCCCCAAACCTCCAAGGGCATGGTGACCCCAACTGTCCAGTGTCTAGGACCCCATGGCACGGGAGTGCTAGGGACCCAGTGCAGTGGAAGACCAGCTGCCAGGCCACCTGGGTCTTCGTCCCGACCCCTCCAGTCCCTAGAGCTCTGGGTGAATCCGGTGCAGAGCTGGCAGGATGATCCAGTGCGATCTAGCTGGTCACGTAGGTTATCAATTCTGAGTGCTGGGCCTCGTGATGCCCTGTTGACTGCCCCACAGGCAGGTGACGAACCAGGAAATGGATAACAAGCAGCAGCAGCTTGCCTGGTTCACAGAGTCGGGGTGGAAGGGGGAAGCACCCATCCCCTCAGGAGTGGGAAAGAATATCCTCACTGAATTCCTGGCACTCAAACCCAGGAGCTGGCCATGACTTTGGGAAAGTCACTGTCTCTCGGGCCCTCCAAAAACGGGTAGCCTCGGAAGAGCTTCACTTCCTTACCTATTTGCTAAATCTTTAGTAACGTCCAGTTCCCGTCCCCCACCCCAACGCTCAAATTCTGCAAGGCTGCAGTCACCTCCCAGCAGGCAGGGGGGTACAGAGCGGGGTCAAGGCCTCAGGAGAAGGAAGGTGCGGGAGGCCCAGAGCACCGACCCCTTGGGGCCACCAGCCCAAGGCATGGCGCGTCTGCCCCCGGAAGTGCTGTCCCGTTGGGCGCAGGAGGCTGACCTGCTGGAGTGCGGTGCCAGGCATGCATCCCCACAGGCTCTGGCGACGTCACGGACGACATGGAGAGGCAGGTGCAGGCCAACGACATCCGCATCCGGGTCCTGCAGGAGGAGAATGGGCGGCTGCGGTCCATGCTGTCCAAGATCCGGGAGGTGGCCCAGCAGGGGGGCCTCAAGGTGGGCAGCATGGCTCCCCCGCCCGAGAGGGGCCAGCCCCTGGGGACTCGGAAGAGGCCCCCCCCACCTCCGACCCAGCGGAGGTCTTGGGCTTCCCCAGGGAACCTGCCGCCAACCCTGCTCCCAGCACGTGGGGCCCTCCCGGCAGGTGGCTTTAGCTGTGCCTGCTGCAAAGCTTCCCATGATTCAGCAAGGCATGAGGGTGTTTACGTGTCGTCCCCCTCCAAGCCCCCCTCCAGCCCTTTGAGCCTTTATTTCAAGTGCACCAGGAGCCTCGTCCAAAAGCAAACCTTCCCACACTTAACAGCTGACAGGCCCCAGGAGGCTTCCCAAACCTGCCCCTCAGAGGAAGGCCACAGGTTCAAGGAAGGCCACTTGGGCCACAGGTTCAAGCCCTCCCCGACCCCGCCCTCTATGGCGCCCTCTCTGTTGGTGCAGAGGGGCCCTGGGCCTTGCTGAGTTCAGTTTTCTTCACAGCTGATCCCCGAGGACCAGCTCTGGGCCCCTCCAGGCAAGGGAATTCAGGGAGCGGATCCCCCAGCCCAGGCCCCAAGAACGTCCCCGGGGTGAGTGAGGCTTTGTCAGAGGTCGGGCACGTGGCTGGGGGCGGGGGGGAGCCCACTCGCTCGCTCACTCACGGGAGATCTTGCCGTCTGGTCTTCCCACAGGGCCCCGGGCAGGCGGCACCCACCAGGCAGCAGGACAGCCAGCGCGGGCAGGACCCTGCCAGGCCAGCCCCGGGCATCCCCGCCTCTGCGGCCCCACAGCCGGCCCGGCAAGTCCTCCCTGGAGGATGTGACCTACCCGACCAACTGCGCCCAGAACCCCATTCGGGCCTTGGCCAGGCTGAGGAGGAGGCTGTCACTAGGCAGGGGCCAGGCCAGCCCGGCGCACCAGCCCCAGGAGCGGCCCACGTAACCTGCAGGTTGGGGGGCGGGCCACAGGGCAGGCAGCTGGCAGCCCACCAGGTGTAATAAAGCCCAGGCCATCTTAGCAACCTTGGCCTTACTGCCCTGGCTCCGCGGGGAAGAGTCCTTCCTCCCCGGTCCTGAGAGTCACTGGCTGGCAGAGGCCTGGCACACCGCATGCCCTCAGTGGACGGGAACCTCCCGCCTCCCTCCTGAAGGGGAAGCAGGGGACGAGGACGTGCTGAGGGCAGAAGGAAGCTTCTAGCACCTGGGCCACCTGAAAGGCAGTCTTTTGACCCCTCGCCCAGAGCAAAGGCTAAAGGATAATGCAGACGCACTGACCCCCGCCAACAAAGAGCAGGGGCAGAGTCAGGGGTGTGCAGGCGAAGGGGGGATGGCCTGGTGGGGGCCTGGAGGCAAGGAAGGGGTCAGAGGCAGGCAGGGGCCAGCCAGCTGCACACCCGGGCATGGGGACACTAAGGACCCAAGAGTCAGCCTTCCTGTGACTGAGGAATGCCTCACTGTCAGGAAACACGAGCGACAAAGGCTTTCTCCAAATCCAGGAGGTTGGATCCCCACAAGGCCACTGGAGGCAGGGCAAGGCTTTACCTAGCCAGAGCGGGGACACCCCCGCCAGCCTGGCTGTCCCAGGCCTATCCCGGGGCCCCGGCACCGAAGCCTCCAGCCTCGCCAGCCCTCCGTAGTCCGGCTTTCCTCACGAAGCCTCTGGCCTGCCCTGAGCCCCCTTACCTGTGAAGGGCAGGCGTTCAGACCGCGCTGAGGACTTCTGGGGGTGGGGGAGGCTCTTGGCTTTCTGGGACAGTTTTCCCTGGTCAGGAGGCCAACGAATAGAGCACCTCAGTTTACAGAGAAGGGTCAAGGGGGGGCATGTGTGGTCAGGGTGTGGCTGGGGGGAGCCCAAGTCCTGCTTCTGTGGAGCCCGGGGGGCTCCCTGATCTAGGCCCTTCACAGGGCGGCTCCCTGAGCCAGGGGCCCGAGAGCCGGGGGCGAACCCATCAGCCCGGCTCCGCTCTGTGTCCATTCAGCAGTTCACAGGTCCGCAGGTCAGACGTCTGGGCCCCGTGTGGCTGGGTTCTCTGCTCAGGGCCTGGGAACCAGGCCGAAATGAAAGCATCTGCCAGGCTGCATTCCTTGTGCAAGGGACTGGGGCAGGTTCCAGGCTCCTTCTGACTGCTGGCCGCGTTCCAGCTCCTGCAGCTGCAGAACGGAGGTCCATTCCTCGCTGGCTGCCATCAGGGCCACTCTTGGCTCTGAGAGGCTGTCCAACTTCTCGCCACGTGGCTTCTCCATCTTCGAGTCAGCAACAGAGGATATCTCAGGGCTCCGATCCCCTCTACGCTTCAAATTCCTGGCTTCCTCTTCCTCTACCAGCTGGAGGAAACGCTCTGCTTTTAATGGGCTCACCTGGTCAGGCCAGGCCTCCCTGGACACCTTCCCACACATTAAGGTCAACCGTGCCACACAACACAACCTAATCACAGGAGCAGACTCCACTGATGTGTCAGTTCCAGGATCACACAAGGTGTGTTCACGGGGGCCGGGGGCACCCCAGGGGCTGTTTTAACTTTTGGCTGCGCTGGGTCTTCCTTGCTGCGTGTGGGCTTTCTATAGTTGTGGCGAGTAAGGGCTACTCTCCAGTTGCAATGCAAGGGCTTCTCACTGTGCGGGCTTCTCTTGTTGCAGAGCCTGGGCTCCAGGGCACACCACCTGGGTCGCCCCGAGGCATGTGGAATCTCCCCGGACCAGGGATTGAACCTGTGCCCCTGCACTAGCAGGCGGTTCTTAACCCCTGGGCCACCAGGAAAGTCCCCTTAGGAGGCATTTTAGAGCCCACCTCCCACAGGCAGTAGACCCCCAAGGTGACTTGTTTATCTTAAAACATCCACAAATCTTACATCTTATATTAAAATATATCCATGTTTATTTTAATACTAAACCTCCTCAAACCCCAATTTTTTTTTCAATAAAAATGGATGACCCTGGAAAATGTACCACCTCTACCCAGTGGCTTCAAGTATCCTGGTCAGCAACCTGTAGCCCCACGGAGAAGCACAGGGCTAGATGGTTTCTAAGGCCTCTGGTCCCAGCCAGGCCCCAGATGGGAGCCCAGCTGGACAGGCCACGGGACCCATGGCCCCCAGTGCCCAAAGGCCCAATGCCAGCAGGCAGTGGGGGCCTCTAGGTTCCACATCATAGCCTTGACCACAGTGTGTCCACAAGATGGTCAGTCTAGGGTGCCTCCAAGACCAGATGGTGCCTCCCCTGCCCCACCCCCCAATAAATACGCACAGAACCAGGCCACTGCAGCCGCAGCCCTCAGGGATGCCCTGCCAGCCAGGTCAGGGAGCTCCCAGAGCTCTGGGAATAGCGGCGCTGCCCACACCCTCTTCCCCAGATGCCTGCCTGGGGTCCTGGGTGCTGCCTGTGAGGAGGCAGACGGAGACACCCCAGGATGGCAGACAAGGACCCCAAAGCCGCCTGTCTTCCTGCCAGGTCCGGGCCGTGCATCCTCAGGCTGGGGACGGTGGTCCCTCGCTCCTGGTGTGGATGTGTGTGGGGGGCGCCTTGCCCCTGAGCAGGGGAGGCCCCATCCCTCCTCCCATCACAGGGCTTTCTGTCCTGCCCCCCGCTGCTGTCCTGTTCTGGGCGCCCAGGGCGCAGGCAGGCAGGGTCCCTTGCCCGCATGCAGAGACCCCGCCGGGGCAGCTAATCATCGGAGTAGCGGTTCCCTGCAGGAGAGGAGGAGAAACAGCAGGGAGGGAGGCGTCAGGTGGGAACCAGGTGGAGCCGGCCAAGAGCCCCTCCCCTCGTTGCTCACCCAGGACATTGAATTTGCACAGCGGGCAGGTCTGCTGGAGCATCAGCCAGGGGTCCACGCAGTCTCGATGGAACTCATGCTTACAGGGCAGCACCCGGAGCCACTGCAGGGGTGGGGGGCGTGGGCTCAGGCCACAGGGAAGGCCTCTGGTGCTGGGGGCCAGGCCCCATGCCCTCACCTGAGCTGGGAACTGGAACCCCTGTGGCCCGCCGCGCCCCCCTCCGCCCAACCAGTTCTGCTTCCCAGAGCTCTGGTGGGGCAGGAAGCAAACCGGTGGGGGCGCTTCCCAGGTGTGTCGGGAGCAGGGCAGGCGTCATAGCCCCGGCTGACCTCTGCCAGGGGCACTAACCTGCTTGTTGCAGAAATAGTCCAGACACACAGCGCAGGTCTCAGCACCAGGCTCCAGGGGGCTCTGCGCTGCCGGGCCCAGCCGGCACCTCCGGGTCTTGAGGGATGCCAGCCTCTGCACCACCCGGCGCTTGAGCAGCTCCACCTTGGGGGCGGGGAGGAAGAAGGACAGCACAGTTCCTAGTGCCGGGGACACGGGCCTCCCTCCCACGGGCCCCCCCAAGGGCTGGCTCCCACCTGGCCTCCAGGCTCCCGCTGGCTCTGCCGGGATGCCTGCCGCTGAGCCTGCACCACGAGGCCCGTGCACAGGAGCATGGCCACCAGCAGGATGGCGTTCCACAGCTGCTGCAGCGGCTTCTGGGGAGGGCAGCCGGGCGTCAACCCCACCCCACTTCATCCCCCAGTGAGTCCACCCTAAGGACCAGGCAGGTGAGGTCCATGGGAATCATGACCCCAGAGGCACCTGGCTTCCTCTTCTGAAGCCTCTGTCCTTCCTGGCTTTCACAGCAGAAACATGAAACCCAGGTAAGGAGTCTGAAGGGGAGTCAAGGCTTCCAAGAGGCAAATGGACGTGAAACAGCAGCAGCTAACTCTGACTGTGCGTGACCCCGGGTCAGGCACCCATACAGAGCACCCACCCAGTCCTGAACCCTCAGAGCAGCCCTGGGAGGTGCAAGAGCTGGTCTCCCTACCCGGGCAGAAGGAGGCCACAGGGCTTGAGACAGGGCATGTGTGTACCCAGCCCCTGGGCAGGAGGAGGCCACAGGGCTTGAGACATGGCATGTGTGTGCCCAGCCCCCAGGCAGAAGGAGGCCACAGGGCTTGAGACAGGACATGTGTGTGCTCAGCCCCCCAAGCACCCACCTGCTCCTGGGCCCGACTGCCTCCCAGGCACACCAGGTCCTGCCATCCTCCGTAGCCATCCTTAGAGAGGCCACAGGTGGTCCACAGGGTCAGCTTCCACTCGATGTTGGCCGACAGGGACTCCCCGCTGCTGATCTCAGCCGTGGCTTGGGTCCTCCTGGGAGGGGAAGCCAGAGGCGCCAGATGGAAGCGCTCTTGGGAGGAGAGGCTCAGACCCACCAGCCCCAGCCTTCTGGGAAGCGGATCCCCTGAGTATCACCCCATACTGCTTTGGCGCCCAGCCTTTCCCAGCCACTAGTTTATCCATATCTCGTAACAGCCGGACAAGGAGGCCCGCAAGCACAGGGAAGAGCCCATCAGGATCCGGCTTCCTCTGTGTGGAGGCCAATCCCCTCCACCCAGAAAGCAGCCTCCTCGTTCCACGCCCTGGCACCTCCCTCCAGTCTCATCACCCATTTCTCAGGCCAAGAGACTACAGGCTCAGATGAAATGGAAGGGCCTGGTCCCAAGACCCCTGAGCTCACGGCAAAGCCAGGGACCCTAGTGCCCAAGCCCCGTCCTTTGGACCCCATGCCCCAACTCACTGCAGCAGCGCCTCCAACAGCTTGGTGACGTTGGAGGAATAATGCAGGACAATCACTGGCCTGAGCAGAAGCTGGGAAATGTCCAGCTGGAGGGGGACAGGGAGGTCAGGCAGCCTGGGTCACTGTTCCCCCCAGGCCCATCCCACCCCCAGCCTGACTCGGTTTACCTCTCGGACCACGTTGTGGTTCAGGACCAGGAGCAGCAGGGCTGAGGCTCCCAGGAAGAGTGCCCGCCGCATCTGCAGGGCAGAGCCAGAGATCAGCACACAGCCTGCTCACATGCCCGCCCCACCACCTGTGGCCACAGCTGTTCTCGGCTCCTGGTGAGCACTTCCCTTGGACAGACTAGCTGTAAGCAACTTGAGGTCAAGGACAGAAACCCTTATTCCTCCCACTCCCACCTCCAGATGCCCTGTGGGACCCAAACAGCACTGTGCCTTCCCTGGTCCAAGTGGAGCAAGCCTGCCCACCGGCCCCCCTCAAGAACTCCCCATCGGATACCTCAGAGCCTGGTCAAGCTTCCGGACACTCTCTGGTCTCCTGCCACGTCCCTGCTGCCAAACACTCTGATCTGAGTCTACACCTGGGGGTCCCTTGCCCCACCCAGGACCAGGGCTTCTCTGGAAGGTCCTTAGGGGGCCATCGGGTAGTCCAGTCCTAGCAATTGCCTTGAAAACCCTTCCTCCAGCTCCTCTTCCACATACCACCACCCCGGCCACCACCCCACAACCCCGCACCTGCTGAACCAGAGCCTTGGGATAGGCCTGTGGGCCGCCGCCCTGACTCTCCTGGTGAATCTGGGCCTCCTGCTCTTTGCCCACGTATGCCACCGCAATCCAGCCTTCTACGGGTGCGTCCTGCTCAGCATCCACGATGTCCATCTGTGGGGCGAGGAGCCGTGGGTAGAGGGAGGGCGGGGAGGAAGGGGATCGGATGCACAGCGGATGCAAGGCCAGGGTTCGGGAACGAGTATGCAGGAGAAGGCACCCGATCTCAGGTTCTGGAAGCCAGAGGGCTGGGAGCCTGGGCAGCCTGGGGAAAGGGGGGCGCTGGGCTGCCAGGGCTTGGTCCAGGATGAAGACCGGATGTGGGTGCAGGGTCTACGGCGGCTCAGCGGCGCTCACCAGCAGCAAGCGGCCGCCCAGCGGGGGCGCCGGGTCGGCCTCGGGGCCGATCCTCACCCCCTGCAGCACCAGCGCGTCCTGCCGCGGCAGCCTCACGTCCACCCGCACGGCGCGTGGGCGGGCCCTCGGCACCGCCAGCACCCAGGCCGGGCCTCGCGCGCCCCCTGGTGGCCGCGGAGAACGCGGAGCGACTGCAGCCGCGCGGAGGTGGAAAGTCAGAGGGGCGGCGCTCGCAGTTTTCGGTTGTATGACGGCAGAGACCAGAGGAAAGGACACTGACAGAGATACGTGAAAGATAGTTGGTGACTCGGGGATCGCGCGCCCCCTGGTGGCCGCGGAGAACGCGGAGCGACTGCAGCCGCGCGGAGGTGGAAAGTCAGAGAGGCGGCGCTCGCAGTTTTCGGTTGTATGATGGCAGAGACCAGAGGAAAGGACACTGACAGAGATAGGTGAAAGATAGTTGGTGACTCGGGGACGCCGAGGCACGCTGAGGGGCCCAGACGGGCAGCAGCAAGGAACTTCTGGGGGTCTAGACACTGATCCTTGCTCTTGAGCGGCCTGGCCTGACGGTCAAAAGGTCGGCCTGGTTCTCCACTTCTCTACCAGACTGAACTCCAGGAGACGAACCAGAGACTGGTCTGGCAGGTGGGTGGGTGATGGGGAGGGGGGAGATTGAGACAAGAGTCCTAGAGGGGCAGAGAGAGATGCCAGGCGTTCCCGGCCCCAGGGGCCCGTGCCTCAGAGGGGTCCTGAGGCTGGCTCTTAAGGCTGGTCACTTTCCTGGGCTTGGAAACGGGCACGGTAGAAGACCTGCACCGTCACACCCCCGACAAGTCATCTCTTGATGCCCTCAGCAATGTGAGAATTATGCGAACGGTCCCAAAACTCGTCCTTTA